ATCAACCATTGCTACCAATTTTCTCATTCGCTAGAGGCGACACCGACAATTTTCATTTTTTTCGTATAATCTTGAATACAGCAAAGATACAGAATGAAAGAAAACAATCCTGTAAGCAAGAAAATGTGCTAAGTCAACGCTGTGACATAAAAGACAATTCAAACTGTAATCATACATGAATATTCGCAGTTCACATATATTCACAATCATATAATCTTAAACTTACTTTGTTGCCCAAAAATTCTTTTGGCAAAGCCCAGAAATGCACTCTTCCCTTCGACGTACTATGGGCCGATAGCTCATTGTTTAAGCTATCAAGATTATAGGTAATACCGGACACTTGAGATCCATCCACACCCACCAGTGGCACATTAGTTGGACAGTTATCGGTCGTTAATTTTAGAGTGATCTGGATAAAGACAAACATTACTCAAGGAAGGAAAGTATTTAATAAAATTCGTATCAGTGAGGCATATCACGATAAACACTTGCTTCCTCGCAACCAAATTCTTAAGTTAACACCAAGTTTTTTGACCTACCCTGTCGCGGTACACGTTTGCGCTGCTACAATTCTGAGAACGTCCCATGCAAAAGCACAACGTACATCGTCCTTGAAAGACAGAGAATTTCTCGCCAGGGGCACAAAAACCATCTGTTGGTAAAATTTTAAATCATCGTCATCATGATACGAGAAAAAATCCTCTTGCATCGAGTAACTTCATGATGCTGTTGTTTGTTAAGGAATGTCAATCAGCTTTGCTATATCTTGATCTCATCTAGCCCAATTGATCACGGAAACACGATTGGATGAGATGAGGTGGTGAAACATTGAAGGTTCTTTTCTTGTAGCCGACAAATTCGCTCAGAAACCTTGCTACTTCATGAGCAGGAGGAGACATGAAACTAAACCTACCGTAGCTCTACATACGAAAAATGAAAAAATTATTGAAAGTAGAACCAACCACATCCAATCTCGTCACTCCAGTCTCCACAATCATTCTCGCCGTCACACTTCCACTCTTGCCTTATGCATCGTCTATTCCAACAAAGGAAAGCACCGACATCACACACCCTATCGATACCTAGGAAAAATTATAGCGGATGAATAATATTTAAAGGCTCTTTCAGTCGGTTTTCTGCTCCGCAATTAAGATGTATTCTTGTACAGTTTCCTTTTTGTACCATGAAAAAGATCAGCTCGGAAAGATATCTCCGCTATATTGGGGTAAAGGTGAGAGGAGTGATTACAAGGTTTATACTTACTGACGTTTGCAGAGACATTAGAGATTGTTGACGAAATGATTTAAAACTTAATTACCTGGTCGTGAGGGTGCGCATTTTCCACCAATGTGGCACATTCGAAAAAATCTTTGAATAACCATGTTTGGAAGAGCACAGAAGTAGATGTAGAACTCGTCAAGAAGCCCTCTCAGTTTAAACTCCAGTACCTTGTTGACTCTATATCTACCAATAGCATGGAATTCATTCCACGCTAGTTCCAATGATCCACCAGCACTAGGGCCCTGAAGTATTTCCTTCCCATTCACAAATACCGCAGCACGATTGTTGTGAGCATCATATAGCGCTACGATATGTGTCCACAATTGAGTTTCCACAACTGGTTTATTGCTTATCAGCGCAAATGTTGCTATTGGTGGACGAAAAGCGGTGTGTAACCAAGTAACGTGACCTTCAGCAACCTCAAATCGAAGCTCGCCATGTTGTCCTCTTACGACCAGAATTGGCTGAATGCCCTGGATGGTTTGCAAGTTAACCCAGACGGCAATTGTGATCGCATCAGTCATCTTTGCCAACTTAACACTCCTAAATTGAACCTGTTGTAGATCCATGTCGGCGTAATTGCTGCAGGGTGCGTCAACACTTGTGACACGATTGTCATGATCACTGTATGAAGTGCTGTTTTCAAACCCAAGGTACAATTCAGGAGGGCAGCAACCTGTCAAAGTATGGCAACTTTAATTAAGACAGAAATAATTAGCCGGAATCTTTTGCCATGCGTTTCACTTGCCATGAAAGGTTGGTGATTTTGCGAGAAGTGTGAAAATGCAAAATGTCTAATATATAAAACAACCGATTCAACTGTATTTTAGTAAACCCACGTGTGTTGACTATCCCTATCATTTGGCTTCTCCAGTTTCGTAAAATCTAACCTCAAGTCTGAAAGGACGAAAACTACGCTTTCGGTCAGTTGATAACCCGCACTCGCCCCTCAAATGAGGCTATGTCGAGTGGTAGGCGCGGGATTAAAGCCTGGGAAACGATTATGGCTTGACGCGATGTATCGTGTTGCAAACGAAAGCAGAACAAGTGAGCGAATCGGACCTAACATGACCTTGTCATGTTTCACACTCTGAATGCCAAAAGTTCAACTTGAAGAGGAAAGGGTCGGAGAATCTATAAAATGTTTGGATCAAAACGCTCGAATCCAACAAATGAAATCCCAAACACAGGAAGAAACTCTTGGGAAGAAGCATGCTGGTGACTGAGGACCCTGAAAATTCATTCTTTTCTCGTGACGTTTTTTTTATCGCCTTCCTCGGAGTTGAAAATCTCCCGCTGAGATACGGGGAATCCAGCATTACAACGAGCTATTTCAGGCCTGGAGGTATTTTATACAGTTGAGTGAAATCTGACTCTCGTCGGGTCCTAAATCTGTTTTGAATATTCACCTATGAGCTATATTAAGGAAGGAGGGTCTTCATCAGTCCTTTAAGAATCGATCAGATGAGTTTTGTCGGAATGGTGTGTGTTGCCTGGCGCGAATATGTTGGCGTTGTTGCAATATATCAATTTTATCAACCAAGGTGGATCAAAGGACATCCACCGTTGAGATTCCCGCTGCAAGTCAAAAACAGCTCACTAACCCGGTGGTCTTCCCTTACGCACTGAAGGTCTCCTTTCCCAAATGGCTGATTCATAACTTTCTACTTGCGAATTCCATTTATCAGATTGGATATCAGGATTCTGGATAAGAAGAAAACCAGACAATTGAAAATGTGGAGCATGTTTAAAAAACTGGTATAAATGGATGAAGAATTCTGTAAAAATCTGTCTGATCCGACTCGTGGCTTTTGGCTGCACACCGGGAAAAGCACGAAAAAGAAAAATCAACTGAACTGTTTAAGTAAAATAAACACTTAAAATCTCTCTGGAACTAAATATCATTGAATATCAACCCAGCGGATACAATCTTGACTTAATTTCTGACAGTCTTGATAAGAACTCCGAAATGACTTAGATGGAATTCTTCTCCGAAAGGGTTCAATAAATAAATAATCAAAGGAATGCACTTGATCACAAGTCTGTCTAAACAAATTAGATTCTCATGTCTTCGACTGCAATGGAATTTTCTGTAATAGTTTGATTGAAATGACTTTTCCTAAAAGATAAACCAAGACTTCTAGGGCATGCTCATTTCTGGGTATTTTAAAATCACAGTTTGCAAAGTATCTGACCTTCCACTGAAAATATCTGAGAATGTTTAGATGCCTTCTCATGTGAATGGAAACGAAAATCATGCGTAGAGTTCGATTGGAAAATGTCTTGTGAGAGCTGCTAAAATCTCTAATCGTCCGTGCGTGCTTCTTTGGACAAAACGGTTGATGAACATGCCATGCATCTAAGTTGGTCCACTTCGCTCTCAACGCAGTCACAGAGAGAAATAAAATCCATGTTTAACCCTCAAAACGTTTGTATTATCGCAAATCATAAGTTAGAGAAATGAGAACAATCCTCGGTATAATCAAGATTATCGAAACGTTTCCCATGCTGAGGAATTAAAAAATAAGCCATGCAGTATACATATTCCTGGGTTGGGTTTCCCCTCATCTGTTGCAAGACCTGAACTAACTAAACGAATCAAAACGGAAGGAAGAACAGCTCACCTCTAAAGATCTGCTGATGGTAAACAACAGCACCGCCAGGAAACCAAAGGCATGATCCAGTCTTACATAAAATCGGGGCAACATTTCGTTAACCATACAGTGTACGCCTGTTTGGTGCACCATGGGGGTAATGAAACTGTAAACAAAGGTTCGATTCTTTGGCAGACTTCAGTTTGATCACAGTAACTAATCAGCGAGAGATATCGCTTACGCGTTATCTTTAACCTTGCAAGATCACGATACAGACGGGACCGCTTACCGCTCTGATCTTAAACACAGAAACGGAAGTCCGATAATTTCTCGTGGAAAGGTTTACTTAATTAGACCCAGAGGAGTAAACTGTGATTGGTTAAAAAGCTTGTATCCAGGGATTATGTCAAAACGTCGGGTCTTACAAAATAAATCTTATTTCGCTTTTAACCGAAAAAAAAAAATTCTGGTTTCGGCTCGCGAAATTAGTAACGGTACATGACGAAGTAAAGGGAAATTTTTCTTCCACCTGTAGAATTTCTTGGCTTATCTTGGTAAACAGTTTGCATGACCCATGGATGTTTGTTGTTTGCATACGTCGTAAGTCGTATCGATTTCAGTCGTAATTTGTTTCCTGTCAGCTTTGCGTGTAGCTATCAGTTGTTGGGGTTGCATGTCCACACCTTGTCGCAGACCATTTCACCCAGCTAAGGGTGAAATGCCCTCTGGTAGGATGCCCTCTCTTTGTACTTGTGATGCGCAATAACTGTGCATGTCCATGTCTTGTTTCACGTGGAAACTTCAGTTACAGTAGTTCTGGTGAATTTTCTTCCCAACGTCACTCTTTATCCCTAAGAAATCTTGTTAGGATTCTTCGTTAAGATTTTTTGAAATTACCATGCGCTGCAGCAAGAACAGCCAAGCTCGCGAAGAAAATCTGAAACAATTTTCTTTTTTGTTTCTCTGCAGTTCTGGAGGTTTGACCTCAAGGAAAGCGAAAAGCACGAGAATCCATCAATCCATCAAATGATAAATGTGGCATATATCAATGAGTGTCATCGATAGCAAACACGGGTTTTCTTCCATCTGACCTTTGCGGTTAATAATAAATCCCTAAAACAAACCTACTATTAATTTTGTTTATTTTCATTTTTATAATCCTACACTGAAAAATGCAGTTCATCTTCACCCTCACGACATATATACATACGAAAAACAGCTATTGTAGTGAGGGATTTATCGGCACGTTAAGTTGCTCATAATTGTTCATAGTGCCTGAAAAAAGGTCTGTCAAGATCTCTTCTCCTTCATGGACACAAACAAAATTCAGGCCGTTATAATAAGATTAGTTTTGTTAAGGTAGTCGGCGCAATGGAGGCGTTAAATGTACAGAAGAGTGATGCAGCAGAGTGGTATGGGAACCAGTGATGGAATTTGCTGATCTAGGAAGAGACCCGACATTCCTCTGGGGCCTTGCTATTCAACACATCGGGCCTTTTTTAACTGTCTTGGAATTTGTGCATTGAAATACTATAACTTCTTGGTTAAAACTTTTTAATTAAAACACACAGTACTGAGTAAACTTATCTTAGGGTGACCTTCTTGAGCTCTTGAAAATTAATGTAGGCAGACAGCCGAATCTATTTCACAAATAGATTCCTTTTTCACCTTATTCAATCAGTAAGTTAGAGACACAGATGAAGTTAAAATGATTTGAGAACTAACAGGAAGCACGGAGGCCATAGGCGAGCGCATTACTAATTGTTGCTCACACCTTTTCTGATTTATAACTGAGCAGGCAAACGGCAAAATGAAATCGATCTTTTTTCGAATAGACCGGCAAACTAAGCAAAATTTCGATTTGTTTCAGTTTAAGCACTTTTAGATATTTGAGCTGTTTTATTTTCCACCTCTAAACAGCTCCTACTCAGCTTCAGCCTTCTAAACCTTCACTTTCTTAATCGGAAAAAATCTAGTAAAAACTTTCAGACTTGTGCGCCAGTATGGTCAAAACAAGAGGAGTAAATTAGAGGAAACGACCAATGAGATAGCGGGTATTATTCAGTTACTGGTCAAATCGCATGGAGAGCGACGGCTCTAAATGACTTAACAGGAAGTAGAAAGCTTCATCACCAAGGTTATGCAAATTCAAGTGTTTCAGCATACTTGAATGAGCAAGTGGGCAATTCTCTGACTTCACAAATATTTCCTAAATTCATTTTTCTCTGCAGCCTCAGGCAGCCAACTATTGAATAACTCAGCTATTGATTTCAGTAATTACTGATTCCCTCAAAGGAACTCCTCCACGTCCAGTTCAAGCACTGCGCATGGTAAATTCAACTCGAAGTTGCTGACAACCTCTGGGTGTAATACTCCCATGATGCCGATGGGCTTTCCGTTAACGATCACCTGCGCACATCGACCAGGAAAGAAGGTTTCATCTGAAAAATTATCACATGAATAAATTAATGAACGCGCGAACCAGCTTGCGAATAAACAAACATACATCTTTATTTAAGGTAGTTACCCAGGCAATAAGTTAGACATTCAGTCGTTTAAAAAATATTTCATGGATAATTTTGTTTTATCAATTGTAGTTTTAGGGAGTAACACAGATACCTGCATGAGCCTCCAGATAATATCCGTGTACTGACGTTTTATCCTCTGTGTACGGTACTTCAAGGAGCTGCATGGTGCGGTCCAACAAACCATGAATGACCTGGAGATAGGTAAAATCTTCACTTAAGGCGTAACTAAAAGGGATCTCAAACGAACTTCAGATGGACATTGAGGGAAAGTGCTGGAAATACCGCGAGGCTTGCTTAACGTAGCTTCGCGTGCCTAATCAATCAGCACCTTTCCCTTACAGCGACAGTGACCTTACCTCAAATCCCGGCGTCTTGTTGTAATTCGCGGCACAGAAACGACGGTGATTTCGAGCTCCAACATCTTGAAAAAGAAAAAAAGAGCCATGGAGCATTGGTTATTTTGTCCATACCCACCGAAGACAAAATTTTGAATAGCTTTTTGCTTAATCGAGTGACTAAGACAAGGTATTACTGTAAAAAGTGTGCCTCGCTTCAAATATGTTGCTAGTAACGTTCACTTGTTATCGGAAAGGTTTTAGCTCGAATCCTATTAAAGTCTAACTTTTTTTCAGGCTTCTTTTTATGCTTTATTTAATTGCGTTTTTACTGCGAGGCTTATTTCGTTTTTTGTTTATCAGCCGCAATCAAATAATATTTAATTAAGTAGTGAGTGTATAAGTCGTGCAAAGAACACCAACAAATCGCACTGTACCTTTCTGATCATCGCTGTGTACCACGTCTGAAATTTCAAACAGCTTCATTGGAAGAGGCATCTTCTTGTTACAGCCAATGGTCTTTAGGATGCCAGGAATGAGTGTTGTTCTTGCAACCTGTTAGTAATTGAAATGGTCAGAGTGCTTATTGATGAGTGCGGAAGATTCAAACCTAGCTGCAGCCGATCAGAGAAAAGAAAAATATCACGAGGACTCAAAGATAACTGGTGTAAGACATAAGAGATCGCACGTGACCAGGTCGCTATCTCCACCTATACAAATTCTGCTTCACTGCTAAGTTCTTTAAAACAGGCCACAATAACAAGAACAAACGACAAAGAGGGACAAAACGAAATAACTTCTAAATCTTCCTCCGCTTACACACCGAAGGTTTTTCAATTCACCGATTTAAAGGCGAGATCCTCGCACAAAAAAATATAATCGTAATTTTAAAATACATGTATAAAGAAAATTAAAGATTTTAATTCCATACGAAAAGAAAAAAAAATAGTAAACCTGGAATTCCAGTGTTTTTGGATTTGCGATGTGAACAGCTTTTGAAGACGACAAAGGCTTCTTGAGTTTCTCCGAAACATCATCACGGGAACACTGGAAAAAGAAGAGAGAGATCGTTAGGACTTGAGAACAATTACAGCCAAGGATGTACAAACAAAAGCCAATTCTGAGAAGAGGTCTTTAACATTGACTTTTCGGATTGATGTGTCACTTTTCTTATAAGAATTGACAAAAGTATTTACGTAAAGAACACAAGAGCCAAATTGAGTTCTATTAGAATTATTTTCTTTTCTGATGATGATAAACAGAAGCATTGAGCCACGCAAAACACACAAATACAGCAAACAAACATAACGTATTGAAATCGCTGGGAAAAGCTATCCAGGAAAAAAATCTCTTACCAGAGCGAAGGTTAAAACTTCTGTAAAGCCCGCTTGAGCTATTTCTTGTCTCAGCAGATCACAGAGTGTGTTCAACTTGAACTGCAAAAGAAGTAACAAAACTTTTGGTGCTGCAGTAGTTAATCACCCCGGGTTCTCTGCTTTGTGATCAAAATGATTGCAACGACTGTGACTGTAACTTCCTAACCTACATTATATTTACATGCACAATGATTTAGTAAACAAGAGCTGACAAATGTATACTTGGATTAAAAAAAAAAGGAAAAAAATTATTTCAGAACAGGTAATTGAGGACACTAATTAACTGACGTAAAACTTAAAAAAAGTGATTGAGAGACTTATATCAATTATACATTGATTACTCTAATCAAAGATCTACAACCTATCAATCTGCAACCTGAAAATGTTATTTCCTTACGCAGGTGTATAAATTTAAGACAGAAAAAGGATTCGTAAACCAAGTAAACTAATTAACAAATTCATTCCAATTTAGAGAGGTCACATGAAGTTTTGCTCATCTTACCTGATTAGCAATAGTATTGGTTGGAGGTATTCTCTTTACAATGTTATTAAATCCATGAGAAATGGCCACATCTTCAATTACATCACACTCGTGGATAATATTTGTGAAGTGTCAAGAAAATAACATGAGTAACCAAAGAGCAACAAACCTTGCTTCATTAAGCTGCTTTTAATATCCCAAGGGTTTGACAATGGACTTACACTATTCACCTTTTTTGCTGCCTTACATTTGAGATGGCAAATTTAGACTCTAAAAGGCCCAAGTCATGTAATAAGACGAAAGTGAGTTTTTTTAGGTTCTGTAAAATGGCACTTGATTCCAACAGTAATCAGCACTACATGGAAGAACATTCTCCTACAAATGCATCAGAGCTAAGAAGTGGGAAGAAAATGAATCACAAGACATATAGATTTAATCAGTAAGCTTCAAATTGTGCCACAAAACCTGCGCACAAGTGCTTTCTCTTTCAAAAGAACACCTCAGCAAGAGGATTGTGGATGTATATGGAAATGAACAGAAGTACACTGTGGTTATGGTACATTACATTTCTTTGAGATAAAAACTACAGAGTTCAAAGCAAGATTAATAAATGCTATGAAAGGATATCTGCTCTAGTTGGAGGAATTTCTACTTTGACGTTTTTCCCACCATCAGTAACCTCACTTTGAAGACACATCCTTGTCAACAATTCTGCAACTCTCTCTGGAGATTCCCTGTGAACAGGCAGAAACAATTTAATCAGATCAGTAAATTAATTTTAAGAACTGTGTGCTATCTTGCTACATGTACATAACTGAGTAAAAACAACATCTTACTTGATTCCAATTTTATTGTTAATCTGCTCAACACTGACCACTTCATGGCGATATTTAAGTTCCTAGTGTGAAAAGGAAACAGGCAACTTTTAGTACAGATTCAATTAGGTAATTTCACACAAAGGACTGATGAATAGTGCTGCTGTGTGTGTCATCTGACACCTTTGTCAAAATGTCAAAAAAGATCAACTCAACATGTAGCCAATAGCTTATTCAGGTGATTTTGCTGGCTTTCATTTTTTTTTTAGTTCTATGGACACGAGAAAAAAGATTTGTGGACAGGTTAGAGTGGTGTAAGCTGGCTATGATGCAGAAGTGAGTTTGATATGTAACATACTGGATAAACAAGGACTGATCCATCTGGCTGCTCAACTTCAACAGATTCCACCCTGGAACAGAAAAGGTTAACATTTAAGGTCTGGTAACAAATTAAATATATCTCATTAATATGGCATTTTGGCCTTTTAAAGTGTCAAATAAACCCAGTGAGTTTCACAGCTACCACTTAAGCTAAGCCTTCTGATATTCCTTAAATGTACCTACAGATTGACTCAACCTACAAGTAATGTAAAAAGTTTGAGTCAACAGAAGATCAATCAAATTTGACCTTAAGTGAAGCTAAAGTCACTTCTTTGGGGTCAAAATGTTTGTTTTTAAGGGAAATCAAACCAAACTTTGCCCTTGAGACTTTTCTTTACATCAGTGGAATCACCCTGTATTTATTTTCTGCAGATGATCTGCTATATATTTTTAGGGAAGTGAAACCAAAAAATCTATAATTCAAAGTTGTTTCAATAGCCATCTTTCTTAGATTAGAACTTTAGCAAAAATCTGAAGGACTGATACAGTGTAATATTTGTTGTACAAAAGAGTGCTTGTAGGCCAAAATTATCTTATTCTTTAAAAATCACATTTCGATCTAAAAAGTAATTTGGGCCTGTTTTGCAATTTTTCTTATAAACTACAATACTCCTTGTACACTTACACAAATGGTTCCTCACAGTAGACACTGAACATTGTCACAAGTGTGTCCAGGACAATTTTAGCCTAATAATGAAGAGAAATGATTCTGTTTTCATACAAACACCAGCCAAAAAAAATAAATAAAGAAAAAAAAACATAAAGTCTCTTGCAGTTTAAGGTTAGGTTTATGGATGTAAACTTGCTACTAAAAGATTGGTTATTGCAGGGAGCCATGAATATTAAATAAACATTCATGGTCACCTGATTAACAGAAGTACATTAGTTACATTCATGTTAAATTTTAACACAGATGTATTCATTCTCATCAGCAATAGCACTATACCTTGTGAAGATCTGTGGCTGTACTTTCTATGAAGACATTTCTTGTGTTGAGTGTTATTTTGGAATGTTCACCTAACATACGAAGCATGTGGTTAAATATTTGGTATTTTAAAAACACTAAGCTTAGAGAATTTTTCCAAATTTTTGCAGAAAGATTTTCATTTACAGCAAGGGCAAAAAGTAACATCATTACATTCATCCCCTTTTTCATTCTTACAGATAGCATGATCATTCTCAAGCTTGTAGAGGGGTCTTGAGTAGTGCCTTATTTCTATGGCCAATCAAGTGTTACCAGATCCACAAGTAGTATACAGCCTCAAGGTTATAACTGAAAACTTAACACGTGTAAAATGAAACAATGATCCCCTTTGATATCCAATCTTTTAGCAATTACTAATATAAAGTATAAACAAAGAGAAAGTGAAATCACTTCCTGGTAGACATGTGGTTTTTGCCTTGGTCATGGTTAATCATAGCTGACATTTAACAAATTTTCCTTCTTACAAATAAATGATGCACCATCAAAATTGGCTACATATCAGCTGTATTACAGTATAAAGAAATTAAATCAATTCAAATCAGTTTTGAAGCTTACCATTGATAATTGGTGGCATTGACAGCACAACACTTTTGGCATCAAATATGATAGGATAAACTGGTTTGTCCCGAATGATTGGCAGGTACTGTTTCAAGTGGCTTTCCCCCTTTAAACAGAATAAACAAAATGATAAATAACCACAAGCAAAAAGAGGAGGCCAAAAAAAATGGTCTCACAGTATAAATAACAGTTAACTTATTGCAAACAGAGAAGTAAAGATAGACTTCCACTCCACAAAAACAATTATTGTTTTTCCTAAAAATTTGGAAGATATCACAATTTTTGCAGATTAAACCCTGGATTTTTCAAGTTTTGTAGTTGTAAAGGTAATACAGATTTAAAAAATTCTTGATGCAGATCAAACCAACAGCTTAACCCCAAAAGACCTAAAGGGAAGGAAAAAATTATTAATTTTGAGAGTATTCAGCTCCTTCCTACCTTATACAAGTCCATCAATTCAACAGCAGTAAATTCTTTGGTCTAAGAGAAAATAAGTTGGACTAAGAGGACATACAGGTATGCTTGCCTTCTAATCAATCAATTTTCAGCCAATGAGAAAAAATGCTTCTCATTTGGCTAAAAAAATATTCACCTCAAAACTATTAGTAATCTACTGCTGTAGAGCCAGCTTTTCCATTCAAACTATAACTTACATGCCATTAGCTTGTTCTTAAATGTAGTAAATCATATTTTTAGTATTGGTTACCTTTAATGAAAAGGTACCGTAGTTTCTTGGTTATTAGGCGCACATTCATCATCAAAGTGCTAAAATACTGAACAAGTTTGCAGAAAAAGTGTACATACATTTACATCATGAGTTCTTTGATTTACAAGACATCCCAAGATACTACCCAAGACCATAAATAGATTTGAACAAAATAGTTCTGCAGTTTTAAATTTGGTCCATATAAAGATATCTCAATGTAACTTCCCATTAGGCTATATTGTATTCAAAGAGATGTGGTATAAACCAGGGTATAGTTTTTTTGTCATACATGTAAATTTAAAATGAAACATATTTTATTGGTTATTTGCATAAAGTTTCTAATTTTAGGAACACAGAAGTCCTGTGGTGTGAGTGTTCCAGTTAAGCTAAAATGCTACCGACAAAATAATCTAAATTATGCAGGGAGCATGTATCCTCAATGGGTTTAAGGCAATCTGTGTAATTCACTACTAACACCATCAAAGATATATGCACAGATACAATCTCATCCAGTGTGTTTCATCAAAACCATTTTAAATCTAACCTAATTGTTAAATGTAAGGAGTCATCCTTATAATAACTGAATGAAATTCATATCACTTTGTCTAAGCTATGGTACTGAGTCCATATAATCTTTCACAGTGTGGTAAATAAATCTGTATCATGTCTCACCTGGTTAAGAGGTATAAATTTGATATCTTGAGGAGGAAGAGCATCATACAAAAATGGTCCTTGCAGTGTGTCAAAATCATGAGTTCCTATGGCAACAAGACTTCTACGTCGACAAAGATTGTGATGTAGTTTATCTTGAAGGTCAATGAAGCTGTTATAACTTTCCTGGAGTGTAAGAAGTTATAATGAGAACAAGCTTATAGGTGACCCTCTTCATAAACAGGAAATAGATGAAGGATGAAGTATGAAATTGATGTTGCTTATTGATTCTATTAAGCCTGAGTAAAAAACTTAAAAATGAAATAATAATGACACTACCTGAGTGAAAGTAATATTCCTTATGAGGGCAGCAACACAATGAGGTCTGACAAGAGCTGTCTGTAAAAACAGAGAAACATCCCTTCAACTTTTTGCCATCACATGTTTGGCAAAATGACTCATCAAGAGATAACACTTGCTCAATATAACAAAAAGAGTTTCAAGAACCACACTTAAATTTACAATCACTGGAGCACACTTCTTCAAATTAAATTACACTCCATGTAATTAAAAAATAAAGAAGCCTACTCTTGGTGCAATTCAATATTCTTTAGTATTTTCAAAAACTTAGCAAAATTTCCTTGAAGTCATAAGGTAGTCTAAGAAAATTAGACTATTCTCCTAAGAGAGATCTTTTAGGAAAGTTTTTCATTAGAGGGTTCCAACTTTCTAATGAACATTTAACATAATCCACAGATTTTGATGACATCTAAGTAATGTTTGTCCTTTCAGAATGGACCAAAATGGTAGGAAATTTAACTCCTTCAGTGCCAGGACTTGACAATTTCCTCTTTACCAGACAACCTCACATTTTCCAATTAGCTTGCTTTTCACTTCTGTGGTTAAATAATTATCATGAAAGCATCCTCTAATAGGACATCTTTTTTTTAAATTCTCTTTCTGCTTAACAGTGAAAATCAAAGATAATCTCAAGGAATCATAGGTTTAATGGATTTACTGTTGAGTGAAACAAACCCTTTGTTTGATTACAGACTGTTCTATACACACGTATACAACTATGCTGAATGGCTCCATAATATTTTACATTATATCATGTATAGACTGTAATTTATAACACTATAACTTGTTATATTGTACAACTTAGTCGATTTGTGATGTTGGAAAATATACACATTATGTGTATTGACTCACATTAAACTAAAGAATCATTTTCAGCATGGAAAGAAATTAAAACTTGAAACAAGACTCAACATGCCCTATAGGTATATCAAGAAAGGACTGGGAAGAAAATACATACATTTTTGGAGATTTTTAATCTCTGCATAGCACCACTGGGTTTCACAGCTTTGTATCTAGGAGCTTTTATCCTGAAATATAAGGAATGAAGGAAAGCCTCTAAATGCGGAAAGGTTTGGTACATATTAATAAAGTGGGCGAGTTTCTAAAGAGACTGTCAGAGGTGCTGCATCAGTGGGAGTATAACAAGATAAGCTGGTTTTATCAATTGAGTGAATTAAGTGAATTGACCTCACAGCAGAAACTAAAGGATTTTTTTAACAAAACAATTGTCACAATTCAATAGGGTAATTTGGTGTTATCAACTGAGTTGAAAATGCAAATTGGCCACTGTAAAGAGTTTAAAAGGCTGACATTTCAAGCCTTAGCCCTTCGTCAGAGTGATTGTCACAATTCAATTACAGGATTCTCTAATAAACTCACTTTCCAAGAAAAACTTGAATTCCTCTTGAGATTCCTTCCAGACATAGAAGGTCATATCTGTGTAATCAAATTATAATCAAGTTAATGGAGTAATTTAAATCAACATTAAACAAAAAAAATTATTGACACACATATTTATTTTGGTACTACAAAGGATGAAGGAAATTAAAAGCATAACAGTTAAAAAAATGTTTCTAGATTGAAGCTTTCTACATCTAGCATGATGCCTGTAGTCCAGAAGTTGTTTATAATTAAAATAAAATGTAGTCCACCTGTTGGCTGGGATTTCAATTTTGTAGATGACTCCTTCATCACCTTCCTCAACCTGTGTGGATTACAGAATCACAACTCATGAAACTTGTTGGACAAAAAAGAAACAACATCAACAACAACACCAACAACAAAATGAGGTATGTTGTATATGCTGGTAGCAGCTCCTAGTATCCATCTCCTGTCGTGACTGAGTAGTGACGAACGGTTAACATATTTTGGTAACAAATTTTAAAATTCATCTGATTACTTGATTTTTGTTTTAAAGTGTGCGTAATTTCTCATTAAGGTTCCAAGATCAGGTTTTTTTCAGTTTGTTTGTTAGACAAATTTACTCTATAGAATTTTATCCGTGATTAAATATAGCGTGCACACCAAATTGCCATCCTGTCCATTAGAGGAAGCCCAGATAACTCTAGTTATTCCAAATAGTACTCATAAAAAGGCTGCTTTTCTTTGACAAATGGAGAATACAAGGCACGAATATAATGCAGATGCTACTCACCACTTCATCCAGTTCAAGTCCAAAGTCAAAGCACAGTTCTTCAAACTCTTCATCCGCTGGAACAAATAACTCCTGTTTTATTTCACTTTCCTTTTTATTTCACTTCTACTTGTTCGAAAATCTTACCACGTGCATTACACTAGAACCGATAATACTTACTGTACTCCTTTCCAATGGCCTTGAATAACAAGTCTCGCTTAACGTCCACGGTCGGCATGTCTTGAGAATAACCTTTTCACGAAAAGAATTTTAAAGTTACAAAAATCATAAATAAATCCTTAGGGTAATTTCATCAGCCAATCCTTTCTTATACTTGTTCCCAGTCTCTTTAGTCCTCTCTGGAATTTCCTTAGAGCGCGGGCTCAGATAAGACTATAGTTTCCAGTTTCAACAAACCCGCGGCTTTCTTTATGTCTTTACTACTTTTTTCCCGACAAAAGAATCTTTGCTTTTGCAAATTTACAGATATTTCGCCCTTTCTTTTAAATATATTATAGATTTTTGCTTTTACTAAAAATGTCACACATTTCATTCAACGCTAACTTGTGGAATGAATCGCATGATTGATCAGTTCTAAGACGGTCTTGATAAAACGCAGACTGCGGACCGTGCAGACCGCCATATTGGATTTGGAAAACTGAGTAAGAGTTGAATAGCGGCAGAAGATGAAGGACAAAGAGGGGACAGGTCAGGAACAAAAAGTTAGCAGGGCAGCGAAGCCACTCAACACTTCTTGGTCCCGTTTATTTCGTTTCGTCCATTTTAGACTAAAAAAGAAACGTCATCAGATGGCCCGTCCGTCTTGTCCTGGGAGATCGTTTCATTCCTTGTACCAACCAAAGACAAAAAAAATAACTTGTGGCAAAATGATCTCTTGTTAGGGCCCGAAAATGATTTCCAAATGATGTCTTTAGATGATATTTAATCAGTACTCTAGAGTAGAGGGGGAGAACTGGGAACGGAAGAGGGTGGGAAGAGCGATCTATCTGAGGGCGGGAAGCGGGAAACGGGAACAGAAATAAAAAAGGCACTCGTCTGTTATTTATCATCGCTTATCACCCAGTCAAAAACCACTTCCCAGCAAAGTTTTTTTCTTTCATTTAACGTCCACCGAGGCGTAAAATAAAATTTTATAAACGAGAAAACGTAGTTTTTTCCCTCAGGCTGAAAAAAAAAACAAAAACAAAAACAAAAAATACTGGTGAAATTGGATACGTATCGAAGTCGATTACGTGATAGGTCATGAATGAATTTGTCAGTGTCTCGCGAGCTCTAAGAGGCGAAATTCTCCAGCGAACAAAGTGAGGTCTGCCTGGTTTGTGCGGTCTGCAGTCTGCGTAGGAGCATGACCGGTCTTTAGACGACTGTGCTAACGAAAGCTCTGTAAACGATGATGTTCGAAACCACTCACCGTCTACCCCGAATGAGCTTCATTTTTATGGTACAACTCCAAACTGTACCAGAGAGCGGGAGCACCGATGATTTGACTTCATATTTCTTACCAAGCCAGGACATTCTCCTCTAACCACTTGACCCCATGGCTTGGTTCAGCGAATCATTGGAACGATTTTAGTGAACAACAAACAAGTTTCGAGCTCGTTTTTCATAGTTTATCATTTATGCGCACAACGCAGAAGTACTACCGAGTCAAACTTAACATTTTATCCAATCAGATTTCTCTGAGAACCACTGGCACGCACGCGCTCATACGTCACAAAGAAGCTGTCGGATTTATACGCAAGATTTGCTTGAGATATTTCGGTAGCTTTTTCAACTGTCGGATCAATTGGGTAACACTGTTTCAAACTTCAATTTTACAGAATAGGTTGAATTTTTAGTCGCAATAATCTTCGTGTTCCCAGAGTCCTTAGGAGGAAAAAGGTGGGTGTCTTTCACAATCAAGGTTTTAAAAGACCCTTCCTGAGACCTTCGCGGTGGCTTCCTAACTTGAATTATACTCTTTTAAGATATAGAATTTAGTTTTTAGTTTCTACAGTGTTAGCAAGCATCTGTTTGAGCGTTATTGCTTTAAAGTTTTATTATGATACTATCCGATCGTACTAGGACTATAATAAAACGCACTGTACCCATCCTCAAAATGAAATCCGAGATCCTTGTTTTCATCCGGCGCTAATTATGTAAATTTTAATAATGGAAGGTTTCAAGTCTGCAGAGACTTTCTGTACCAAAAATTTATTCAATATTGTTTTTAACCTTTTTCCTTAGACTACCAAAAGTAATAACTACTTGGTGTCATCACACGCGATGGTACTTACCAACGGAGCACGAACTTCACCTCATAGGAGAGTTGTTTTACACCCAAGGTGTGCACTGAATCATGGTATGAACCTGATGTGGCGCCTAGTACCCATATCTGGCTCATGGGGACAAAAGACTATCAGGAAAATAGAATTCCTGAAAAAGGTACCTGTAGCTTGATTTTGACCTCTTACTTGGGTCTCACTTGTTTGTTTAAAGTTGCATTTGTTACCATGTGTCGATCCCATTTCAACATCAGCAGCTTAAATATTGCTTTCTCTTTACTATGAGCCACCAACGACAACCAATCGGAAAAAATTCGATGAATGGGAAATCTGAGGCTGATCCTAATAACGATGTCAAACCAAAGAACGACCTCGAGGAAGAAAATGCTGTAAAAGTAAAGCTCCCATCGTGTCTTTCATACGAAGGTAAGAGACATTTGAAACTGGCTCATAATAACAGCGATGTATAGGGTTGCAGCACAAATAAGGAGAAAAAACATTTTCCTTTAACCGTGGAACTTGGACTAGTTAAGGGTATCCCACAATAAGCAGACAATTAGAGAGCCGCTTGGAGTAGGTGCAGGGCAACTCCACGCAGAACTTTGTTTTGGCGAACATCACCAGGCCAGGCCTCAATCGCGCGACTTGGCCAAATCGCACGCTTGTGTTGCGCACAAGTGCGTTTACAGCGAACAATTTTGAGACATTCTGATCAACCGCTCCACTGTTTTAAGAGAACACCATGTCAACTTACCGAATAAGAATTTTCGGGCATTTTGTCTTATTGTGAGGATGTAAAGAATACGGATAGCGTCCATTTTCAATGCCTGTCACTTTTTTGGTAAGAAATCATGATATGGTTTTCGTTGAACGAAAACCATTGTCGTGATAACCCGCTAATAAAAGGTGAACTGAATGACACTGAACTATCCTTTCAGTAATTACAGTTTGTTGGAACAAAGTTAACCGGCCGAAGGACCAATGACTTCATTGGTGTTTCCTTAACTAATCTCTCTCTCTCTCTCTTTCATCATATAATTACAATGAACAGGACATGGACGCTTCGAATATCGTGAATGTCACCCTGTTTTTTAGCAGGTTATCACGAGCATGGCTTTCATAGGTTTACACTCGATAGCTCCGTACTAAATGAAACAATTCTCGAGTTGGGCCTGAAGTAAGTATTGGTGTAAATCAAATACACAATATCTGAATTAAAGTTACTTCTTTAGCTGGGCAACGCAAACACTTTGAGAGTAACAAACATGATGGGGATATGCACCCACATTACTGAGGGTCGTGGAGTCTAAGAGGAAGCTTGGGTTCTAGCAAAAGACATACGTTCAGTCACGTAGCCCTACAGGGGAGCGGGAAAACTGGATACTTATTCTTTAACCCTTTAACCCCGAAGAGTGACTAGCATCTAATTTCTCCTTACCATATCACGCCTGAATCAAACATTAAGGTCAGGAGAATAAAGGAGCTAATCACCGACTAAACAAGCTCTTGATTGTTAGACAAATTCTCCATGTCGGCATCATAGGAAATGTTCAGAGAACAGTATGGAGAATATTTATACTGATCTAAGAGTGTAAAGGGTTAAGAGATGTTCATTCTCATGAGCGAAGCAAAGAAACAACTTTTCAATGATTATCACAAATTAACATCAGAGACTATTTCTGTTCATAAAGGATCAAATCTGTTTCAATTTATTCTTTGAACACAGTTTCAAAGAGTCTGTAGCAATTGTCTATAAGAACTCAGACAACAGGACAATGTACATGTGCACCTGGACTGAAGAAATCCTTGACAGGATTTGCAGGCAGTAAGTATTTTAACAGTCCTGTGGACAGCTTCTGAACTCCTCTTTAATATTGTCTCTGGTCCATAATTATCTTGAACGACGAGAACCAACTCGCAAGGGTGGTTAGCCATGCAACTTTTGGGAGAAAAAAAAGTAAATTGAAATATTATTACTGTATCTATACCGTTTTGGTAAGCGTAAGGATACCGTCACTACGTTTGTGTCAGTGATAGATTTGAAAATCAACTTATCCGCATTGTTCTGCATAAACCGACATGGTTTGTCCAAGTGACTTTAGAGGAAGGGATAAGGGACGTTTTCAGGTTGGTGCAGCTTATCTGTGATTTTTCTGTCGTTATGTGTAATCTTCTGCAGAGGAACCTCCAGCAAGTAAAATTTGTGCGCGCTTTTTTGGTTGTTCTGCCATGGCAGCGACTCCCTGAAACGGTTAATTATTCAAAGGGGTTAAACTAAAACAGAAAGTTACAGACAGAAACTTTTAAAGTACAGCTTGAGAAAAAAGAATGAACTTTACGCATTTGTTGCTGGGTTACTTTAACTGCACTGGATATAACTTCAACTGTGATTACAAACTACAGCCTTAACGAGCGAAAAAAAAGAACATTACAAACGATCAAGTTAAACTTTAAATAATTCGAATAAATTCCGCAACACTTTTGCGCTAACACATTCATACAAACGATGAAAATTGTAACAACGTAGAAGGAAAACAAAAGAAAGACTTTAAGTGCTAATGAACTGGTCAGCGGTGGATCCAGCGATTTGTGTGACCAGTTTGTACCAAAAGAAAAAATTTGTCCATGTATTCCATGAGACTTAAAATCGAAGGGCGTAGCCCTGAGCTTGCTAGGGGACTGGATGCTCTGTAAAGCAATCTGGTGCATATTTGGAAATATATTAAAACAAGTATGAAAATTTGCTTTCAATCCACAAAATTTAGCAATTTTTCTTGGCAAACACTTACTAAAAAACATTTTATAAAAATAATGTTCAACATATCATAGGCGTTACTACTCAACAAGCAACAAGCAAACAAGGAAAGTAAATATTTCAATGATCTCACATTGTCCGGTCGGGTATTAGCCATATAAATGTTTCCAGGCTCCACCACGAGGAAGTTCCTGACCTACAAGCCCAAGGCAAAAGAAAATGTTTTGTACCAGAGTTAGTTTTAAGTTCAAAATAAAGAAAAGTTGCAGGGCAAAGTAGAAGTTC